TGAACTCGGTGTCCATCATTTCTGGCATTGCCAAAAATTCTGTGCTTTTTTCCCTGTAGGCTGAAGTGCCCTTCCAATGTGTCTTGAGGGAAATCTATCTGGCCAATACTTGATTTTCTGGTGTTTCGCACTTTCTGGCTTCCAGCAATTATTAGGTATGCTAAAATCGTACACATGTAGTTAACTCCAATGTGCTTGACCTTTCTGAGTTCTCATTTTTCATTATGTGATAAGAGCAACAGAACTATCTCTCGCGAGTCCCTCTCCTCTCCAAGGCTTAGTCCTAGGGCATTCACCCGTTCTCTAATCGTCTGTGCTCTAGCCATCGCGGCAGGACCATTGAGGAAAAATCAAGTAGTCCGTAAACCCGGAAGATTATGAAAGGACACAGCCAATTAGGAGATATCTCATTATAAAGAAGTTCGTATTTGGGTCCTCATTGCTTCACTGTCTGGCGCCTGTCCACAACTGGATCTACTTCAAGAAACACGAGCTGTGGTAAGATGTGCTTCGTGGAGAAGAATTTAGCGTCTAGGTGCTCCTTGGAGAGAATTTAGCGTCTAGCCTCCATGTCTGCGTCAGTTTCGGTCATAAACCAAATCAATACCTCAATTTTCGCTAAAACGTTTGCTATCATGGTGTCATGAAGTACCCTGATCGAGAATAGGGCTTGGTTTCAAACGAAACGTCGACGCCACAACTTTTTTACACAATTTCACGGTGAGGAGCTGTGGCAATATAGTATGGAGGCATTTCGTAAACGCTTGTCCAAATTTCTTTAACGTGTCTAACCGTGAGCATATCTAACCAAGTAGTGATTTGGAGTCCAGACGAGCGCATACTTTACCTAATACTAGCTAAACTTTATGAAGAACGAAAGAGACCAGAGTTGATTTTAAGGAGCTATCGCAATATGTATATGGGAGTATTGTGGTGGCACTACATTTCGAGCGGCATATAGCATCTCCTTCCTGTCAGAAATGGGACTGAGTCTAAGGTGGAGATTGTGTGATTCGATTCTTATTTTATTCCCCGATGTTCATGCCTCCACTTGGACTTGGTCCTAGAGGATGTCCCCGTATCATGATTAGCGCTCAAAAGGATCAGTGGTTACGAAATCAGGAAGAAAAAACCAGCGGAGTGCTCATGGTCAGGTTTGAAATCGCTAACGTTGGGTCAGAATGTTTACGTTTAAACGCGTTCTAAGCTTTAACCAGGTCATAGCAAGTATGTCTGTGACTGCAACTTGGCCAGAACGCACACGTTGAGTAAAACGCCCCTTCATATTGCG